AATTGATTTTTGAAGGAAGAATAATAACAGAAACGATTAACACATCATAACCATACATAATGTATATCACATACATACAAACGTACATATTTAAAATATGTATACATATGAGAGTATATTAAACATTATTAAAAATGTATCTAATGTATTGTATTCACTAAAACCCACACATTATTGACATTATGTGTGTATGTATATTACACACATTTGTACCAATATTTGTATCCACAAATATAATGATTAACATGTCGTTTTCATTCATTATATAACTACTATATAGTAAAGTACATATTGCTTTTATCCGTGCGTTCATTCATTTACTCACTGGATTTTTTATTTTTGCTTTCTGCAGCTGATTTGAAGTGGCCATAAAAATTTGATTTGGGACTGAATAAAGCCACAAACGCATATACATACATACACATTCAGACTGATTCACACTTATAAAAGGCCCCATAATAATACTTAAAGTTTATGATTTTTATTGGAGCGTGTTGTATATAGTAGGTACTCGTTTGTATAAAGTACAGTGATGTAGTTTTGGCTAAAACACATGTTTTCGTTTACTATTCAGATGTATATTTAGTAATTAACTTCATACGCCTAAATATATCAAATCTATTCATATATAAGAGTTGAAATAGCCTGTTAATAAACTCCAGATGCATCATCACAAATACTAAAAATTTTGTTTAACAACCGATCAATGAATAACTAACTAACTAACTAACTAACTAACTAACTAACTAACTAACTACTAACTAACTAACTAACTAACTAACTAACTAACTAACTAACTAACTAACTAACTAACTAACTAACTAACTAACTAACTAACTAACTACTAACTAACTAACTAACTAACTAACTAACTAACTAACTAACTAACTAACTAACTAACTAACTAACTAACTAACTAACTAACTAACTAACTAACTAACTAACTAACTAACTAACTAACTAACTAACTAACTACTAACTAACTAACTACTAACTAACTAACTAACTAACTAACTAACTAACTAACTAACTAACTACTAACTAACTAACTAACTAACTAACTAACTAACTAACTAACTAACTAACTAACTAACTAACTAACTAACTAACTACTAACTAACTAACTAACTACTAACTAACTAACTAACTAACTAACTAACTAACTAACTAACTAACTAACTAACTACTAACTAACTAACTAACTAACTAACTAACTAACTAACTAACTAACTAACTAACTAACTAACTAACTAACTAACTAACTAACTAACTAACTAACTAACTAACTAACTAACTAACTAACTAACTAACTAACTAACTAACTAACTAACTAACTAACTAACTAACTAACTAACTAACTAACTAACTAACTAACTAACTAACTAACTAACTAACTAACTAAACTAACTAACTAACTACTAACTAACTAACTAACTAACTAACTAACTAACTACTAACTAACTAACTAACTAACTAACTACTAACTAACTACTAACTATAACTAACTAACTAACTAACTAACTAACCTAACTAACTAACTAACTAACTAACTACTAACTAACTACTAACTAACTAACTAACTACTAACTAACTACTAACTAACTAACTAACTAACTAACTAACTAAACGAACTAACTAACTAACTAACTAACCCGTTAATTTTAATTTCGTAAAACATCTACTTGTACTATTTAATTGTTCAATCTTTTTTTTGTTTGTTTTTGTTTTTGATAACATATACATACATATTTCCATTTTTGCTTTCGTCCCACTGTATTAAGTACTAACGTAATAAAAAGTACTTATGGATTGTTATTAAACTTGTATATTATTTTATATTTTAGAGGTTATTAAGTAGTTGTTGTAGTGGTATTGATGTGATAGTGATGGTGGGTTAAGTGTTCCCACACATGCTGGTGTTGTTATTATTGTCCTTTAGCGTAATAATAATAACAGTAATTGATTAAGGTTAAGTATTTAATTTGGTGCATACTAAGTGTAGAAATGAAAATATTGTATAAAAATATCCCAATGCAGCTTGAAAATTTTGAAAAGGATTTTATTTAAATTTTAACAAAAGGGCAACAAAATATAAATAAATACTAAAAGAGTCATCTAAAGGTATATATCTGCTATAGATCCTTACTTCTCAAGTATGAAATATTTTAAGAGTTTATATGAAATGTTGCGAAATTTTTAAATTATTTTTTAAATTTGTATACGAAATTTCGCCTTAAATTAAAATTTATATTCACATCTATGCTGTGGTAGTAAGTTTATTTATATTTGCAGCAAATATCCTCTTATGAAAATTTTTCAAGTGATGTTAACAACTCTTAAAAGAAACAAATATGGTTCAATTTGTAACTACTTATTTCATATGACCCAATCTTATAATTTATGAATATTTATGTACATGACCCATTTTTCTTTTGTTCTAAGTACTGCAAACAGCAATGAACTTAAAAAAGCATCTAAAATGCTACATATTTTTCATAAAAAAAGCAAAAAATACACATATACAGCTAGGGGGTTAAAATAAAGGGCACCTTAAGGTTATAATAGCTAAAGGACACTTTTATTTTTAAAATATTTATCTCTAAATGTCAGCTTTAGTCGAAGTAAAAAAAAATCGTATTTAAACTTTAAAAAATTTAAAGATGAAAAACACACATTTGTCTGTTGGAAAAAAGTACAATTTTGATACAATCGATGCATGACACTTTTCAATACAAACGAAACCCATCAATTTTATTTGACACATTTTGTTAACACATCCATATAAACCAAACCGAATCGAATCCAATACACATACGGCGTTGACAATTGTAAACCAAAGTCAATGAAATGGAAATGTGTGCGAGAGGAAAGTATGTATGTGGTAGACAAAAACATTAAAAAAGTTTTAATTGAATGCGCCAGAATATAAACAACCTATTTTTTGTTAGTCTCCTGGGAGAGTAAAGTCATTTTATTATTCCCTTTGTAACATATGAAAATAATCAAGTGAAGGTCTTATTTTTGCGTATATATTCATTATAAACATTTATAGACTTTATCTGAAACCTAGAAATTCCTATTTGCAATTATCTATAAATCTTTTTGGATTATTCCATTTAAGGAATTAAATCTGCTAGATTTTGACAATATATACATTTGTTTATGATCTGACAAGACTTGTTTTAAGATTTCTAAAGATTTAGTTTGTATATAAAAGTTAATAAGAAAAATAATTGAATTTTCTGTGTTTGCAGTTATTATTATTATTAATAAAATTAACTTCGCAGATCTTTAAAAATATATTGAATAGATAAAAGTCCAGACTATAAAATAAACTATTTTAGGCTATAGTCCACACTATTAGCATTATATAGAAGAGTACTATATTACTTCCCATATGGTAAAATAAAAAACAGACTAGACTATACTTCAGACTACATGCTATATACTAAATCACAGCTCCGACCATAGCCTATACTAAAATGCAGACTACTGATTGTACTGGAGTCCAGACTTTAGACTAGACTTTAGTCAAGACTATAGATTATAATAGAGTCCAGATTATATACCATACTATAGTCCAGTCTGTAGACTAGACTATAGACTAGACCATAGACTAGACTATAGACTATAGACTAGACTATAGACTAGACTATAGACTAGACTATAGACTAGACTATAGACTAGACTATAGACTAGACTATAGACTAGACTATAGACTAGACTATAGACTAGACTATAGACTAGACTATAGACTAGACTATAGACTAGACTATAGACTAAACTATAGACTAGACTATAGACTAGACTATAGACTAGACTAGACTATAGACTAGACTATAGACTAGACTATAGACTAGACTATAGACTAGACTATAGACTAGACTATAGACTAGACTATAGACTAGACTATAGACTAGACTATAGACTAGACTATAGACTAGACTATAGACTAGACTATAGACTAGACTATAGACTAGACTATAGACTAGACTATAGACTAGACTATAGACTAGACTATAGACTAGACTATAGACTAGACTATAGACTAGACTATAGACTAGACTATAGACTAGACTATAGACTAGACTATAGACTAGACTATAGACTAGACTATAGACTAGACTATAGACTAGACTATAGACTAGACTATAGACTAGACTATAGACTAGACTATAGACTAGACTATAGACTAGACTATAGACTAGACTATAGACTAGACTATAGACTAGACTATAGACTAGACTATAGACTAGACTATAGACTAGACTATAGACTAGACTATAGACTAGACTATAGACTAGACTATAGACTAGACTATAGACTAGACTATAGACTAGACTATAGACTAGACTATAGACTAGACTATAGACTAGACTATAAACTAGACTATAGACTAGACTATAGACTAGACTATAGACTAGACTATAGACTAGACTATAGACTAGACTATAGACTAGACTATAGACTAGACTATAGACTAGACTATAGACTAGACTATAGACTAGACTATAGACTAGACTATAGACTAGACTATAGACTAGACTATAGACTAGACTATAGACTAGACTATAGACTAGACTATAGACTGGACTATAGACTAGACTATAGACTAGACTATAGACTAGACTATAGACTAGACTAATATTTAGAAGTTTAAAATTATAATCACGTTCTATCTCTTCAGGCTCAAGTATATTTAAATGGAATATATATGTATGTATATAACTTTTCTTACCATTAGAACAGTATACAGTGGAAGTCCTTACCTGAAATAGAAAACAAAATACATAGAGATTAATATAAAGTTAAGCATTTTCGATTTTAGCTAAACATACTAAATTTATAATTGCACCAAGTCTTTTTTAAACTACATTGTTAGCTGTCTTAATTTATGTTTATTACGTGAATATTATTTTCTTAATTAAAATTATTTATCATTATTTCCACAAACTTTTATAATTCCCATTAAAAATAAATTTTCTCTTGTTTTCTTGCAGGTAAGTTTTATAGTTAATCTTGATAAATTGGTAAATTATTTTGCAGATAAGTATACAAATTATATAAAATTTTTCAATTACTAACAAAATAATTAACAACTAATTACTAATCCTCAATTAAAGTCCTTATACCGAAAGTAGAGGCACTTATACACATACATAAAATAAAACTTTTTACCATTACTCTTAAAATTTCAATATTTATGTAAACTATAGCTCAATACAAATGTATACCAAGTAGTATTTTACATCCATTGGTTTTTATATCTGTGTCATTGTCTTTTACCAAATAACCACAATAATACAAAGAATGAGAGGAAGGAACCTTAAAACAAATGTTAACCAATAATGAAATATAGGACAAATAAACATCAGCCATCAAGCATCCTCCCCCCAAAACCCTCTTAATAAAGAAAACAAAAAACATAACTAACGCCATCACAATGAACATGATGACAAAAAGTGATAAATTGTGAGTGAAGCATGAACCAAAAAAATAGCAAGATAAAAAAAAATTTAAATGAACAGAAAAGGAAAATAAAACAATGACTGAAAACATCAAGCAAAACTATAATATTGGCAAATTTATTGATGATTGTTGTCTGTGTAACCATTTTTGTGTCTGTTTTAAATTACCAAACCGGAGAGAGGATGATAGTAAAATGAAGAACTTTTTTTGTCAATACAACGAAAAATACAAACGAAAATTGTTAGCAGAATAATGAAAATTAAATTTCTGTTTATTTTGCTGTTATTAAAGAGGAAAATATGTTTTTAATATCATTTGTATGTTCAGAGTCATAATGGTTTCGGTTTACTTGTTTATCATGTGTGTATACTAAAATTTTTAAGATTATTGTGTATGTGCAATATGAGAATAATTTTCAAGGTGAATTTAAAAAAGGTATTTAGAACAGTGACACTATCTATTTAAGATTAAACAGAAGAAAGTAACAGCTAACGTTGAAAGCGCTATAGAAAATTTTCGATAAATTCCCTTTTTAAAGAATTTAAAAAAAAAATTATATACAATTTTTGATAAATTTTCTTTTTATAGAAAATTTTCGTTAAATTTTCTTTTTATAGAAAATTTTCGTTAAATTTTAATTTTATAGAAAATTTTCGATACATTTTCTTTTTATAGAAGATTTTCGATAAATTTACTTTTTATAGAAAATTTTCGATAGTTTTTCTTTTTATAGATAATTTTCGTTAAATTTGCTTTTTATAGAAATTTTTCGTTAAATATTCGTTTTATAGAAAATTTTCGTTAAATTTTCTTTTTATAGATAATGTTCGTTAAATTTTCTTTTTATAGAAAATTTTTGTTAAATTTTCTTCTTATAGAAAATTTTCGTTAAATTTTCTTTTTATAGAAAATGTTCGTTATTTCTTTTTATGGAAAATTTTCTGTTTCTAGATTTTCGTAAAACTTTTCTTTTTATAGAAAATCTTCGTAAAAATTTTCCTTTTATAGAAAATTTTCGGTAAAATGTCATTTTATAGAAAAGTTTCGTTAAATTTTCTTTTCATGGAAAATGTTCGTTAAATTTTCTTTTTATAAAAGTTTTCGTTAAATTTTATTTTTATAGAAAATTTTCTTGAAATTTTTGATAAATTTCCTTTTAATAGGAAATTTTCGATAAATTTTCTCTTAATAGGAAATGTTCAATAAATTTGCTTTTAACATTAAATTTTCGATAAATTTCCTTTTAATAGGAAATTTTCGAAAAATTTTCTTTTTATAGGAAATTTTCGAAAAATTATCTTTTTATAGAAAATATTCGATAAATTTTCTCTTTATAGAAAATTTTCGATAAATTTTCTCTTTGTAGAAAATATTCTATAAATTTTCTTTTCATAGGAAATTTTCAATAAATTTTATTTTTGTAGGAAGTTTTCAATAAATTTTCTTTTCATAGGAAATTTTCAATAAATTTCCCTCTTATAGAAAATGTTCGGTACTTTTCTTTTTATAGGTAATTTTCGATAAATTTTCTTGTTATAGGAAATTTTCGATAAATTTTCTTTTTATAGAAAATTTTCGATAAATTTTCTTTTTATAGAAAATTTTCGATAAATTTTCCTTTTATAGAAAATATTTGATAAATTTTCTTTTTGATAAGAAATTTTCTTTCGACAGAAAAATGTCGAAAAAAGAAAATTTTGATATTTCAAAATTTTTTTGGACCCACAGTACCACCCACCAACAGTAAAGAAAATAATGATATAAAAAAACTTTAATATAAAAAAACAAAATTTTATTTGACAGTACTTCTCTAGAGAATGCATGGCTTATCATTTAAAATACATAGATAAACTGACAGACATACAGATAAACAGACAAAGATACAGCATTTCTCCATTTTAATGACAATGATGGTTTTACAGTTTTACGTGTGTACAAATGGGATAGTATGTTTCTATACCCTGCAGTTTCGAGGAAGATTGCCTCTGTTTACGAAACGATACTGATATTTGTCACTTTTCATACCAATTTTAATTACATGATTTCGTTAAGTAAGCAACGATATCCTTTCTAGAAAACATAGCGACGACCGACTACTCTCTAGATTCCTTGTAGAGTGGAGATAAATATGGTACATTAACCATTTTTAAAACTGTAAGGCATGTGTATATTGATACAATGATTATATATTAGGGAGGCCACAAAGAAATTATAATTTTTTCTTATAATATACGCAAATTTGTTGTTTAGACAGACAGATTCCTTCTCACATCTATCACTTATAAATCCTGTTGGTTTTCAGAAAAATATTTTTGCATTATGAATCTCTATAAATATTATGAGGGTCTTTGTATCTAACATCTTTCTAACTATTGTTTTTTTTCTAGGGTTATCCCACATATCTGTAAAGACTTTTGGGTGATTGTGTATACATATAAATATTTTCTCTATAATTAATACAAATTTACTCTTATTACTGAAGTGTTGTTATTGTCATTATTGTTGTAATCATTATCATATCCAAAATAATGACAATCTGTTTTATATTAATAGATTCATGAATATTTACCATATTGTGGTGTTAGTGTGATGGTGATGATGATGGCCTGTCTCTTTTGTTATTGTTTATCATCTATTAAGTGTGATTTTGACATACGGTTTGATTTTGTTTAGATTGAGTTGTTTGTAAATATAAACAAAATTTTCTATACAACTTAATTATTATGCATGTTATTATATGTTTTTAGATAATAAGGAAAAATAATTAAATTGTGTTCAATAACTAAGCTATTGTTCGGAATAAATAAGCAGTTTGGTGAAAATAATTTAAATTAAATTTTTAAAACAAATAGATTTGGATAAAAAAAAAATTGAAAAAATATAATTTTTTAAGTTATAAAAACTGTTTTGAAAAATTATTACAAGTATGGACGGAAGGACAGACGGATGGACGGACATCGTTAAATAAAGTTAAATGTAGATTATGCACCAATGCGTATACTTTATGTTGGATGTTGAACGCTATATTTGTGGATATCAACCTCAGCTGTGAATTTTAACCGTCAGTTTTTGATATTCCCCCTCCAAATGAAGCTTTAATAAACTTTCATTTAAAAAAACGCGCTGTTTTATTAAAACTCATGGCTAACAAAGCTCAACTGTTATTTAAACACTTAAAAATTTTCATTAAAAAAAAAACAAAAAAAACTAAAACTTTTTAACAAGTTTTTGCAACACTTCAACAAACTAAAACAAAACAATGTGTTGCAAATTTAACTGGAAAATAATACTTGTTAAAGAAAAAAACTACACAAAGAAACAAAAATATAAAAAACCATACAAATATAAAAAGAAACATTCTTCAACATTTTGAAATTATCAAACTTTTTAAAGAATTTCTGTATTAAAGTATTTTTGCATAAAACTTGTGCGTAAATTTCCATAAACAATTTTTTTTAATAAAAAGTTGTTATTAAATAATCCATAAAGAATTGATTAAGAATATGGCAACAATTTAATGGATTATAACTTATAATTAATTTCTTACAGCAAGATCTGCTGTGTTTCTTCTAATTTAATTTTAATATTTTCCTTTTAATTTCTAATTATGATTATAATGTAAAAGATAATTCTAATAAGAATTAATCGTTTATTAAATAAATTTACTAAGTCCTCGACAAACAAACTAGACAAAAACATTTTTATTTTTTCATATACACAATACATACATACATACATGTGTAACAATGTGAGTATGGTGTTATAAGTACTATACATACTTATGGTCTTAGTTATGTAAATACTTTTGTATACAAATTATTTTAGCATTAATTAATATGCCTTGTAATCTGTGGTTTTAGTGATGATATAAATATTTATACAGATTACAGAAATATTTATAGTAGTTCAGACAGTCACCATTCAATTGCTAAAGGGAGTTAAGGGGTTTGTTTTTTTGCGCGCTTCTAATACTAAAACCATCAATAAATATTTAATACCAGAGCTATGATTTTCATACAATATGCATTCAATAACTAATAAGCAATTTCAATAAAAATATCACAGTCTTTATCTTTATTTAATCTGCATGTATGCTAAATATTATCAACAAGTTTTCGAAATGTTAGAATTTTTTACCAAATCTTCAAAATCCCATCCCTGTATATCATTTTTATATATGCATAAGCAAACTATTTGTACAATAAATATTTGGAAGGGTGAATAGAATGTTGTGTCATAAATAAATGATAAAAAAACAACAATCAATATGACAGCTAAAGTATGGCATGGATGTGATAAAGTATTCATGCATTATTCTTCATATAAGTGCTTATTTTGAATATGCATTGTATGGTTATTAATTAAATTTAAATAATTGCAAGAATTAATAAGTTTTCTGAAAGTATGAAAATTTGTATTACTGGAATGTTGATATGTCACAGAAATGACTAAAGTAAGTGTTTTTTTGTCCACAATAATATGTTATTTTGCTACTAATATATTGCCAAGTCATTTTAACAACGTCCATCAAAAGTTTTAATCTCATAACTGAGATGAATACAAGCTTCGTTCGAAAATTCTACAATTAGAACAAAAATCTACGTCATATGCAACGTGTATACCACAACATTTTTCGCTTTAATTAAGCAATATTTGGGTTAATTAGCTCTGTATCATCTGATATCCTACCGATCTTTTTAATCCCCTAATAATAAACGTGTTCCGTAGATAATCTTTTTGGTAACTGAACTTAGTAGTCAATCCGAAGCGTCTTCAGTTATAGTTGAGTTCTAGTTCAGTTCAAGTTCAGTTCAGTTCTAGTTCAGTTCTAGTTCAGTTCTAGTTCAGTTCTAGTTCAATCCTAGTTCAGTTCTAGTTCAGTTCTAGTTCAGTTCTAGTTCAGTTCTAGTTCAGTTCTAGTTCAGTTCTAGTTCAGTTCTAGTTCAGTTCTAGTTCAGTTCTAGTTCAGTTCTAGTTCAGTTCTAGTTCAGTTCTAGTTCAGTTCTAGTTCAGTTCTAGTTCAGTTCTAGTTCAGTTCTAGTTCAGTTCTAGTTCAGTTCTAGTTCAGTTCTAGTTCAGTTCTAGTTCAGTTCTAGTTCAGTTCTAGTTCAGTTCTAGTTCAGTTCTAGTTCAGTTCTAGTTCAGTTCTAGTTCAGTTCTAGTTCAGTTCTAGTTCAGTTCTAGTTCAGTTCTAGTTCAGTTCTAGTTCAGTTCTAGTTCAGTTCTAGTTCAGTTCTAGTTCAGTTCTAGTTCAGTTCTAGTTCAGTTCTAGTTCAGTTCTAGTTCAGTTCTAGTTCAGTTCTAGTTCAGTTCTAGTTCAGTTCTAGTTCAGTTCTAGTTCAGTTCTAGTTCAGTTCTAGTTCAGTTCTAGTTCAGTTCTAGTTCAGTTCTAGTTCAGTTCTAGTTCAGTTCTAGTTCAGTTCTAGTTCAGTTCTAGTTCAGTTCTAGTTCAGTTCTAGTTCAGTTCTAGTTCAGTTCTAGTTCAGTTCTAGTTCAGTTCTAGTTCAGTTCTAGTTCAGTTCT